GCGGTCGCTCCCCTGTTGCCTATGTCAACTCATGGGTCATCGCAGACGTGCTGTGTTCAGAGTTTTCATCTCATTATCACTACTTATGTTTAAAATAGTAGGCAATGAAAACAATATCAAAATATAAGCAATAAACAACACATAAATTACCAAAAATACAATAAAATATAAATAATATCAATAATGTGAAAATATCATCACGCTCACCTTATTGTGTCTCGCTTCCAGTTTTTCAATTTCCGCCTGATGCTCTCTTTGAATCTCTTGAATGGCTATTCTCTTCTGCTGACTGAGATGCTCCTGGGACGCTGCGCGGTGCCGCGAGAGCTCCTCATCATGGCGGTGGCGAAGCTCGCGGACAGCCTACGCGCGAAGACCAGGGGTCCACCTGAGGGACAAGATTCCGTAAGTGGTTCCAATGATATGAGTGAAATTCCTTGCTGAACTGTGTGAGAATAGAACACCCATATGAATTCATCAATTCGCGCGTCAAATAAGTATCCGACAATGCAAATGTTTCCTTATAACATCTTACTACCATGAACATCCTCGTCTGGATGTGTGGTATGCAACTCATGCACCACAGCCTTCCACCCTTCTCACTGTGGAAATCAAATCAAAGCCCTTCAGCCTGCCCGCGCTTGCCTCAGTGTCACCGGCCAAAAGTGTTGGATCACCTCACACTGATTCTAACCTATGGCAAGATTCGGCATGACTTCAATCTACGCCAATTCGTTCAAATTGACGAGAATCTCCACTTATTCCTGCAATCTTCTGCAGTAACGCAGAACCGAATGCTGCTGGACACGCACTTGAAGTATTTTTTGCAGCATTGGATGTAGTGCTGAAAATGAGGCGCAGCATCCCATCGCCTTGTCCATGATGGAAGCCGCTGCCCTCTTAAACGGCCCTTGAACGCGCACTCACCCTTTTCGCCTCGTCCTGCATGTCATTCAGCACAGCGACAGCTCTCCCGACGGACCTCTCCATTCGGAACACCTCCTTCACTCCATGCGTGTCCGCCGTCATGGTGCTCCTCAAGTAGGCGCATGTCTCCCTAGATTGGGATCGAATTTCGGCGATGTCTTTCTCCCAGTTGCGCTTTTTCATCTGCAAAATTTGCAGAGCTTGCAGTTCATTTAGCGAGCTTAATTGGGATTTGCTTCAGGTCCGAATCACAAGAGCCAGCGTGGCTTGCGTCTGCAATACTTGATGTCAATATATTCCACTAGTAACGGCCTAAAATAGCACTAACAGGGACTTAAAATTTCCCAATCTACACTGTTCGCAACAATATTAAAACGCTTTGTAATTGATCAAACATGCGCATCCATAACGCGAATTGTGTTGCAACAGGACCAAAACGGTTTTAAACGATTTGGAAAATCAACACATAAATCTGGCGATGTTCGTGGCAATACTGAGCAACACTGTTCGGTTTCCTTCAGCGCAACTTCCTAGCGCCAATGCACGAATTTCATCAACTTGTTCTTCTTAATTGAGCTCATAAACTGCGCATATTCGGCAAATTTCCGTAGTACTTGACCAAATCCAGCTATTTCTATCAGTGCTCCAGCAAAAGTCGGGACATTTGATGTCAGAGAATCATTCCTTATATTAAGTGTCTGTTTAGTTCAGAGTTCAATAACAAAGGTATTCCATGATCTGAGTAACTGATGTAACTAAACGACAGCAATTGACAGGCTCAAAGATTGATGAGTTGCGGGAGCACTACGACATGCCAATCCATGGAAGCTGTGCCATCGAGTCCTGAACAGTGCGCTGCCGAAAACAGTCCGCCACGACCAAATTCAATGGCGCGATTGCATCCATACTTAAGTTGAAGGCCTGCTCTGGCGGGACGACCTGCACTGCGCAAGCAAATAGAGGCCAAGCGTATGGCCAATGGGGGTGCAGGACACAATATGAAATTTTAATAGACTCTTTGTATTTCATGTTCATTTCCTTTTCTCAGAGAAAATTTCCGTCTTTGCTTTTTACTAAGATAGAAAATTTTCCTGAGAACAGTTTTCCTCTGTTGTACTGCCACAACATAGTATGACAATATCTGATTTATTATTAGTAACGCTTTTTTGTACTGCTGCTGTCTAGAAGAAACCTGAGTTTTCTCAAAGACAAAATTTTTTTTATGTTCAACAACTTTCATTTGGTAATGTCGATACAAGGCTATATATTTTATATGCATCGTATATTGTATGCTTTCTAGCACCTGCTTGTACAACTTTGCCTGAATGAACCGTGGAACCGTGGACCTTACGTGCCCACCAGTTCCAAAATCTGCACGTCGGAAGGCCAGTGGGCCCAACCGGTTGAGCAGCGAGTCGCGTGCTGGGGAGACGCACCTCCAGGTCGCTCACCGCCACCGCCGCTTGGTGCCCAAAGTCGGAGGGGACGCCTTGGGCCTCCGGTTCCAAGACTTCCGCAGGCATGGGGAGTGGCCCGTCGGTAGTAAGAGGGTCAGTGACGCGTCCGCGCGCCCTGCCGTGGAGGAGAGTCTCTTGGGGCAGGCGATATCAAGGATCTGCGCTTCATATCTGCGTTTGCGGTGGCGGCCTTCTATGCCACTGCCTGGGCAGCTGGGGGCAATGTCGAAATAAGGAGCTGACGGTGACAGCCGTAGCTCATATGTGGCTCTAGTTCACGACTGTTTTTGCTAACGTTTGTTCATCATCATCAACACCATCATCTAATGACTCCATTGCTCCCAGTCAGCAGCCACCTCTGCACATAAGTCTCTCTACACGGACATTTCTTTATTTTACTTCTGACCTATATCGCTGAAAGGTGGCACAGGCTGTGAAATTATGTTTATGCTGCTGGGAGCGGAGTTGGGTTCAGTGAACGCTATGTAATTAAGGAATTCATCATCATCACCATCACCGTCATTATCATCATCATCATTTTTGAGTAGGAAATGTGTTTGTGACATTCTCAACTTTTCATGGATTGATGGCTTTTCTGACGCACAGCCAGTTCGGTTGTGTTCCAGAGATACGGAAGATCAAGCCAGGGAGGTGGCCATTGGCCACTGGGAGGTGGCCGTTGGCCACTGGCCAACGAGTCCCCAGTTCGCCCATTGCACACGTGTGCACGATTTGCCCCGTGCAATTCTGAACCACGCACCAATGAAATGCGAATTCCACCGGTTCTGAAATTTCCACCAGAGCTCGTCGACGCTAATGCATTGAATGCAAAAGCGTGAGCTGGGACAGAAGCGCAGAGTGGCAAATGGCATTTGCATGCACCCGCGCACACCACAGCAATCATTTCGCCTTAGCAGTGCCTTAGTTTATTGTGGCCATGACAGGCTGCACTTGAACGGCTTCGACGGACACTGCCATGTGTTCAGCACAGAAGGAGAGCATTTATTTCACCTTCGGTGCCAGGTTGGCAATGTGGACGGGGGCCAACTGATAATTCTGGGATAGATTGACGTGGTTGCTGTCCTTGCTCACCCTACCAAATTTGACGGTCTCACGAAAAATCAATCGTATCACAGCGGTCGAAAAATGATGGTTGACAATTGAATTGGCATTCGACACAGATGAGGTCTCGTGCAGCAGGCATGCCACAATTTGAAAAGACTAGCCACAAATGGTATCAAGGTCTATCCCATGTGTCAATAGCATTAGTAGGATCCGGCGGAATCCGTGGCAGCACCGCATTTGGTTTGTTGGCATTTGATCGTGTTTGTGACGTATCAGCACACACCGATGGCGCACTTTGCTGTGGGATACGACGATTTAGGCGGTATTATGCCACACATGTATATACATAATTACCCATCCATGTGTGTCACTTCGCGTGCGCACAGTACAGGCTTGGCACTTACGCCGCAAACTCAAATCGTATTTACGTTTTTAAGCGTAAGAATAGTTTTGCGTTTTTGACTATAAAAATGGGTAAAGACACGTAAATACAGTTCTGTGTACACAAGGACAGTACATACAGCCTTAGGGAGTCAGGGAGTGGCAGGCAGACACACCGGAATGTGCAGCAAACAAACTTCTGTTCCGTACCGTCCTTGCCCATGCCGAGGGCGAGGTGGGCACTGCGTTGTGGTTGCTGGAGATGGCGGAAGACTGATCATTGTAAGCGACTTTCATTGTGCAACCTGAGTGTCCCAACGAGCCGTGAAAACGAGAAAATAGCAGCAAAAACACCCCGCTTCGCAAATTATTTTCACGTTTTTATGCCTAAAATGTAAACGCAAAAACGTTAACGTAAATGCCAATCCTGCTGGCACATACCAATACAGTATGGAAGTGCTCTGGCATGGGTGGTCTGAGGGCTATTGCTGCTCGATCTTTGCTTTCAGTGACATCGCCTTCACGCGGGCCTTACAAACGTTTCGGTCCCTAAAATCGATGGGAATTCCATACACACAGTCGCTGAACAGGAAACGTGCTTGAAGATCATGAGGTTTCCTCCAGGAAGCGCAAACCATATCTCCTTCGAAGGAGAAGGCTGGAATTCCAGCCCAGTAGCAACAACACAAACACCTGCCAAAAGGATCTCTCGCTCTCAATCGCGTATTAACGACAGCTTCAAAACTGCGCTGAGATTTCAGGGGCAGAGCTTGCCATCGCAGGAGTTTGAAGGGTGCAAAAAATCTCGGACAGGCGTCCGAATCCTCCACAATTACCGCTCATTTCTAGATGCTTCACTGGTACAAAGTACCGCATTGCGCCGTATTCATTGATCGGCACCTGATCAGGCAAGGCATAACTCCTGAAGAACCCTGCCACCAACTATCTACCTGCGAGGAAGAAAGGAAAGTTCACCATAAGGGACCGCCCCCATGAGTAACCTTGCACCTGTCCAGGGAAAACGCCGCTAGCACCTCACTGCAGCAGCACACACACACACACACACACACGCACATGGGCAGACGCTGGAAGCAATTTGTGTCCACATTTGAGCGGGGCCAATATGTTGGAAATCGTGTGTCAGCAACGAACGATGCAGTAACGCGGCGCCTAATCTTGCAATATCCATTGGCCGTGCTGCTTGGAGCATACACGCCATCCTGGTACTTCAGAGCCCGCAGGGGTGGGGGGGGGGAAGAAGTCGATGAATGACAGGCCGCAACTCTGAAAAAAGCGCTGCCTGGTTGTAAAATGGGAACACGTCCCGAGGATCATCCACTCAACCGAGGCACCGACGTTGCAAATAAGGTCATTCCAATCCTGCATGCGCACACCCTCACGAGGGTCCTTGCGCAATCTGCACAGAACCCCCCACTCCGGACTCCTTCTGCACAGTATGCTACGGATCCAGTGATTGACAGCACGGGCTGTTGCACTGCTGCCTAATGCGACATCACATGTTCTCTCGCTCTCTTTTGCCATCCCGGTCAGGCGCCCTCCATGGCCAGCTTGCCCCCCTGACTGCTCTTGGCGCCGCTAGATTCCAGGGAAGAGCTGGCGGTGTTTTTGGCCACCTGCAAACGATACCGCGACGAGAGCATTTGTCCCACACCATCACCAAAGGGGCAGTTGCCGCAGCGACGTTGGAATTATGAGACTTTCTGGCCTGAGGGCGTTTGATACAATGCGCTGCCAAGTCCACCTTACTTAATGCAGTGGGTCTATTCCTTGAATGTGGACTCCAAGATAGTGGTCATTATTCCATGTGAATTTGGCAGCAACCGAATTCTCCGTGATGGGCAATTCCTCCATGTGCAGTTTCGGACAACGTGCGTGTGAGGATTAATACCCCGCTGTTCACTAATTAACTACTCAACTCATTAACCAACTCAATGATCTATATATTCATCAACCTATTTATTCGTTCATTTATATATCTATCGACTGTAGCCCTGCCCCCTAATTTGCCTTCAGGTTCATTCAGGTTCCCCGTTTCATCCCATGAAGGCAGCTGCAACGCGAGGCATTCGCCCCACCTTCAGCACCGTCTTCCTGCCCATCTTCCTCATCGCAGTGTACGCCTCCGCGGAGTGGCCCGCCGCGGACATGGCATCGTACGCCGTATCGCCGTAGTCCTTGCCATATTTGTGCTCCACCACCTTTCCAGACAGTTGGGCGGCACACGAGAATCAGTTAGTGCAATTAACCTTCCTGCAGCTGTGGCGTGCGGAAGGGGCCGATTTGGGCTTCCTTTTCAAGCCGAAGCTTGCTGAGATTGGGTTTGGGACAATTTCGCGCATGAGCTTGTTCAGCGCGCCGCGTTGGCACAACAAAGTACCAGGTAGTGGTGGCCATCAGCAGCTTCCTCCCAGCAGCAGCTGTGGTGCGCACAAACGCTCAATTGGGCATCATTTCCAAGGCGGATATCGCTGAGACCGGATTTACGACACTTCGCGCCTGAACTTGCGCAGAACGTCGCGCTGGCAGGAACGGCGCCACAGGCGCGGTCCAGAGCAGATGATTCGGTACTATCTCACAAAGGCCTTTCCTGCCAGTTGTCAGCACTTCGGTGCTACTCAAGGGCAGGCACAGTACCGATGCAAATGGGCCAGTGTCACCACCTTCACCGTGCAAGGGAACCTCGGTGCCGTTGTGCGACGACTTCATCAGAGGTTTGCACGTGCGCATTGATGTGAAGGCTTTTGCGGGGATTGCATCGATATCACTAGGAAAAAAGGGCCAAATAACACGTGTTCAAACGTGCACAAAGTTTACGGGTTTGTGTTATTTTTGTGTTCTTAACGTGTAAAACTATGATGAAATGTGTTTTATGTGTGTTCGCAAAAGTGTTATTTGGCCCTTTTTTTCCTAGTGTATTTTGTGATACACAGTCTTTTGTGAATGGCCTCTCGCGCGCAGCCGCCTTGACAGGCAGGGTGCAAGGGTGGCGATCCCTTGCCCCACCGCGCGTGGGATAGTACGACAACGCTGTAGTCCGCTTGCTGACAATGCAGGCCTCAGGAGTCGGTCGTCTGGGTTCACAGCGCACCCGCTGCAAAAGGCGCCGTGAGTTAAGCGGAAAGACAGACACCCCGACTGGTTGCCCACAGGCCGCCTCACTGACGCACGCGCCCACGCACCTCCGCCGTGGCCTTGGCGGCGGTGCGCGCCACGAGCTTGAAGGCCTCGTCCATGGCCTCGTACACCTCGGCGGCTGCAACCAGCGTCGCGGCGCCGATCGCCTTGGCGGACTGGCCAACAGACTGACCGGCAGACGAGCCAGCGGCGCTCAAGTCCTTGTCTTTGTCCTTGGAGCTAGAGATGATTGCGGTGGCGACGGAAGAGGCCAGTCCCGCGGCCGCCTCTATGGCCGCGCCTGTGATCTTGGAGGCCGTCTTGGCGACGGCCTTCGCCGTCTCCACCCTGGAAAGGTGCACACTTGTGTCAAAGACTTGCAAGGTGTGGCGCCTGGAGCCTGCGTTGCCCAGTGTCGCCCCTCAGCGATTTTTTGGGGGGGTTCTTGGGACCGTATCGCAAGGTCGCTGTTGAGCGGCAAAAGTCTGATGGCGTGTATCGGTGCTCAGCAACAAAATGCGGCCTAATGATTTTTTTTGTTCCGCCACTTCCTGTATTGGAATATATTCTTCAACATCCGTACTTTCCTCAGCAGTCCAATGCCTCTGGTGTGATGGTTTTCAATTTTTCCATTGGCAATCGACTTTATTCATGCAGATTCAGGTACTCAGCCAGGCCACTTGCCAGTGTTATTTGGCAGACAAAGCGCCCGTATTCATGCTAGGGCACCTGCACGGATTGCAGTTGTCAAAAGCGCAAAGGCCTTGAATTCACTGGCTGCGCAGCAGCACCAATCGGTGTTTTGTCAGCGCCCCGATAGAGCACAATTCATAATGTACTGTTGAGTAGAATTCATTAATTCAAAATTCAATTTAGCGATCCATAATTCACAGCTTCGCAAGCCACGCAGTTCAGCAGCGCGCAGAAAGTGCACGAATAGGTCCCCTTTGCGGTCATTTCTCCTCAACACTTCGTCTGCAATTTAGACGCAAAAAATATATGAAAAAGGGCGGGAACAGCAGGATGACGGGAGATCAGGACGGTTGTAATTTGGTGTCGTTTCCATTCAAGTTTTGAAATCTGCCAGCAGTGAACTCAGAAGATGGCAACCGAGTACTACTTCAGAACGTCGAAACGTGCAACGCAGCGAAAAATCACACTCCTGGTCGGGAAGATCGCACTTCTTCTGATCACACACCTTCGCACAAGAAGGGCTCTTGTGGTGCTTTCCTCCTTGCAGCACGCAAAGCTGCATATGTATGCTAGTTCCACAGAAACGGAACGCCAATGGCAGGCGAACAAAAGTTCCGTTGAATACGAATACCATGGAGAAGCTACGTCGCAGAGGAATCGAATGTTGGATGAATAGACACACAGACAATGATGGAATGATGAGTGCCGAATGCAGCAAATGCCTGTATAGGTGCGGTTCACAGGAACTGCGCGTTGTGCTTTGGCGAAATCAAGCGCACTGTGAATGGAACAGACGCACGGCTTTCCTTCGCACAACGACGCTGCTGTGAGTCTCCGCCATGGAGTCCTCACCCCTTTCACCTTGCTTTAGTCTTCTCGTCCACGGGCTTGGGGCTCTCGCAGGCTTCCGTGCTCCCCTTGTACTTATCGGCCCCTTGCTTGATTTTCTTGCTGATTGCCGTCGCCCCCACCGCGAGGCCCTGAGCGGCATACACGGCCGCCTTTCCGATGCCAGACACTATCTGCAAGGGCGCCAGCGGCTAAGCGAGGCACACTAGCAAAAAGCAGGCCAAAATACACGGTATTGGAAATCGTGTACAGTGTAATATGATTGAAACTTGTGCCAAATCGTGTTAGGTCGTGTATTTATCGCATATAAATGGGACCAAACCGTGAGTAACGATTGAGTGAGTGTACATGATTGTTACACGTTTTGAAACGGTACTACACAATTTTTACACGGTTCGAAATCGTGTATTTTGGCCGATTTTTCATTTGTGGCAGCTGCCTTTGTGAACACCGAAATGAAGGAAATGACAACGGATCCCACAGGTCATGGAAACACTTGAATCCCACACACATTATGTCCTCGCTTGACTTGAGTTGATATCAGAATGGCGTGCGTCCACAGCATTAACAATGCTTAAATGCACCGAAATCGTGTTATATACTGTAGTTCACAATACGTTTGAATGTCAACTATGTTAAATGGACTTAACGCTGGCTATCGTGTGCGGCCTTTCCGGGCAGCCACAGCTTCCATGTGACAAGCCTTTTTCTGAGTGAGGAACGCAGACAAAACGGTTGACGCTCTATTTTGCACTTGCTACGCACAAATGCGAAACGCACCTCCTATAAACCCTATTTTTGGGAAAAATTGATATAGGGTTCAGTACTTTACAGTACTGGCTTTTACTAATTTGTCCTGAAAGGTTGTAAATAAGTATAATATTCAAATTTTGAGCGGTGCACAATGCACAAAGTCGTACGCATATCCTGTTGCATTTCACTCCTGCGCCTCGTTGGGTCTGTGGGGCAGTCACGTCATCCTCACCACACAACACCAATCACGGATGCTGTCGGTACCGCAACCCCATTTTCCTGTCCATGTCGTGCCCGTGGAGCGTTCAGCATACACAATGGCCAGCCGCCAGAATTGTGATTCCGTACTGTGCTGAGATGCAACCAAGGGAGACAAAACAAACACTCATTCGATGTTGGTGGCTATGGCTGCTCAGGGGCTGTCCATTGCATATTTGCAATAATAAAAGGGTCCATGGAATTGCAGCAGCACAGATCGTGCTGCTGTGTTGGGTTCCTTCTGCCCTCTACGGCCTTTGTGTGGTGTGCCAGGTGGAGCACCAACACGCACAGCTACGGTGCACGAGCACTTCGGGGGTAGCGTGCTGACAATGTCAAGGATGGCTACACACAATTGATCTAGTTCATGTTTTGCTACAACCGCAGTCAATCATAGATGGATGAAGACAGATTGGGACCCAGCCAGGTCCCTGTCACCTCCCCAAGGGAAAACTTTCAAGGAAGAAGCTGAAAGGCTGACACAGAAGAAGACCACATGGAAAGTATGGAGAAAGCACCTCTCTTTCCGACACCACAAAGTCCTATGGAGTAGTACCAGAAAGTGCAACAGCACACCTTTCAGCAGTAAGTCTTGCTGCAGCTAGTAACTATTGGCAGGTAGCTAGCACTGAAGTAAGCACTGTTTCGCCATTTTAAAAGCAAAGACAACACAGACGCATCACAGCCTCCTGTCATCGCCACAAACTCGCGATGGCACCGTTATGCTCTGAGCAGGTTTCCAGAACTCAAAGTACACAGACAACGTGGAGGGCAGTCACCTTGTCTGTGGTTGTCTGTCCACCCTCCGGTTCGTCATGTTCGGGTCTTGGAGATGCTGCTGGATGGATATCCGACATTTGAAATGCTGTGCAGCTCCTCAGCGTGGCATCCAGAGCCTCCAAAACAGCGTCTGCAGCATCTGTGGGCCAACAGCACCCAGCACATTGCGAGTTTAGAGAAACGGAAGCAGCCAATGGCTTGGACCTGCAGAACCAGGAGCACAGGGGAGAGTGGTGAACGATGCCTTCCATTATCAAATGCGCACAAATATCCATTGGTCTGCTTCAAGAAGCAAATAGAACCCAATGAGTATTGCATCTTTCTCTATCAACATATCGGATGTACAGATGTGTGCCTCCCTTGCCAAAGAAGGATGGGGCAATTCTCAACATCAAAGGGAAATAAGCACAG